TATTACAAACGATTAAGTCAATCCCACTGTTATACAAACGGTTTTGTCAATCCAAAGAAGCCACGAATGAACTTGTTGGAGCAAAATCCCCGTTATTGATTGTATAAATAGAATATGCAACTTTTCCAATATTGATTGGTAGCTTTAGATTTACGGAATTCAGCTTTACATCATGCATGCAGTTTGTCTCGTCAATTTGAGTTCGCAAATGTGTAGCAGACCTTCCCTTGGTCCACAACGTTATCCTTACGGAACCGATATGTTTTGCCGCAGAATGGGGGGGTTTTTTTTTGTCATGCTCGATTTGGCGTTTGCACCGCCGAGCGCAGGGTGTATCTAGCCCACGACTAAATTAGGAATGTTAACGCCATTGTGGCACAGCCGGACAACCAATGTGGGAGAACCCCAAACCCATCATCTCACAGAAGACGAACCCAATCTCACACATCCTCAGCCATGTCCGAGATGTCTGTGTTGAGGTCTGGGTCTTCTCGATGTATGCACACCTTCAGATACCCTGCGGGTTCACCACCACCTCACCCCACAACAGCCTTTCCTCGAATGCTTATCCTCCCAGTGCATACTCTTCCCGCACATCCTAGATGAAGCCACTTCGGCGCTCGACAGCGACAGCGAGGCGGTGGTACAGGCCGCACTAGACAATGTCATGAAGGAGCGCGGGTGCACTATTGTAGTGATCGCCCACCGATTGTCTACTGTGCAGAATGCGGATCGTATCGTTGTGGTATGTTTGTTTGGTAGTTTCGCTGCCTATACGTTTGGTTTGTGATGTTTTGTTTGATATATACATCACGAGAAAAAAAATTATATATATATACTTCAAGCGCCTCGCTAAAGGTGGCCTAAATCATGGAGCACTCGACTCCCCAGTTCGTCTGATTAAATGTAGATTTCGATCAGAACATTATGTCGGAATCTCAAATAATTACTTATAGCCTGTAGGCTTGCTCGGCTTCCATTCAGTGTTAGTAGTGAATCAATTGCAATTGACGGGAAGGTGGAAGGTATAAACATTGTAAATATCAATTCATTGTTTTACCATATAGATCGATAAGGGACATTTTGTGGAGACAGGAACACATGCCAGCCTTTTGGAGGCCAATGGGATGTATGCAAAGCTCGTAGCAAGGCAGCTAACGGCCGTATGAGTGCTGCAGATTGGAAACGGCAGAATCCGGCCAAAGTTAGATTTGAGTGTATATATTCTGTATTAAAAATACTCCACATTTTCTTACCAAGTGGTGGATTCGTATTCCATAAACGAACTGAACCGTTAAAGTTTAGTTGATAGCCTGAACTTCCCATGAGAATCTGACATGGGATGTCCGGGAGATGTATATGCGGTCATGCATTTGCGTATATATCTTGCGAGCAATCAGTATGCTTTGAGGCTGGTTTTTGTCTATACATTCAGACTTTCTTAGACGCCGACTTTTGAAATCACCGTTCTCGCGATGCACAAGTCCTATAGTAACTTGAAGTCTCCCTGGGTTCATACATGGTCATGTATTTATTACACGTCTTGCATTCACGTTTCATACTTGTCCATCCAAGCCAAGATATCTCTCGTTGAGTCCCTCAGGTGATTGATAATGCATGAACGATGTCATCTGCTTGACTATAATGGACGATATCATCTGCTTGACCATAGAATGACCAGAGCTATATTTTCCAATGCAGGGCTTTATTATTCTTTAGGATTCATCCTTTGCTTTTCCCTTCCAATCGAATTCGAATATTTCATTACATTCCTGTGGTGCTTGCGTTGAGCTACTCACATTACAGCTTCGTTCTCGATTGACATAGTTGAATTGTGTGTGCTATCTCTGACCTCATACGTTATTTTCAAGTTACCATTCTATGCAAATGCGTAGTCCGACACTCGCCATCATGCACCTTGTACGCTTATTACACAAAACTTAGCGGCAGCCACTTATAGATTATTAATCATATCCTCAATACTCCTCACATCAAGTTCGATCCCGGGCATTCCGTTGTCGGGTATACTGAGACTGCTAAGTCCCAGGAAATTCGGATTCGAAGATGACTTAAAGTTCTCCGAGCCCGATTGTGCCAACGGCTGCATGGCCTGTAGATTCAAGTCACTTGCTCTATCGACAAGGGCTGTTTGTTTATACAGAAAAAGATACGGAAAAGAAAGATGCATTCGATTAGCTTTGCTATTGGTTATAGATATTGGATATAGAATGTCGACATCGTTTATTTCCTGCAGACCATTGAGTTGCGTAACAAAACAACCCAACGAGTATTAATTTCCGCCAGCGACAAGCACCGAGGGCATGAACAAAGAATGGAGCGGCCATGACCCAAGTTGATAAGAAGATGGTTATAACCAAGTACAAGGAGGAGGGGGGTGAGATCGTACTCTGGCACCACGTGACTGACAACTAAGCACCAAATTTTGACTTTTCTGTACGCAATAGCAGCATTCAGGTAATAAAAACTGTGTACTATACAATGTCATTGGCGTATGTATAGGTTCGTATTCAACTACCACTAGTCGAATATAGCCTATGGTCGAACAAGACCACACACATACCGTTTGCTGGGGAGGCGGGCCTCGATATAGATCTCTGCATGGTATACGGCGAGTGTCTCTGCGGCCGGAAGTCACCTCTATTGACATGTTGCAGACTGCTCAGATTTGTCTGGCTTCCCATAGTACTCGCCGAGCCAAGCGGTAGTGACATATGCTGTTTATCCATCAAAGACGACGTCGACACCGCTCTCGGCAGGCCTCCCATATGCCCGTTCATGGTACTGGCACTGTGACTACCTAAGAACTCGTACTGCTCAACGCCCTGGCTGTTTATTCCCTGCAGCATAATTGGCTGCTGAGGGCCGCCTAGCTGTGGGTGCGGCGAAGCCATGCTGTCGTGACTAAATGCTCGGTAAGCTTTATCGGTGCTGTTATTGGTGTTAATGTTGTTGTTGTTGTTGTTGTTATTGTTGTTGTTGTTGTTCATAGCTTGATTGTTTTTGTTGCCGTTCTCGAAGTTGCTGAATAGTTCGTTGAGTTCCGCAATGGAGGGGGCCTCCAAATGGATATCAGATATGGTATTCTGCTGGGAGGAGCACAACAGACCGTGAGTGCATGCGATAGTATCTGGCAGCGCGAATGTCTATACACGACTACAGTATGGCATGAAACGAGGATACAATCGCTTGATCAAAGACTATATAGATACCTGCCTGTACGTCAATATACACGCACATTGCATGTGCTTGCATCTATGTATATGAATAAAAATTGTGTCCGCAAGTATTGAATACCACGGAAATGAGTAAAAACTGTGCATGAGCACACATGTATATTAGGGTTGAGTAAAACCCGCCCACCCATCGCGCATCGAAAAGTGTGTATTCCCATAAATAACACATTTAATCAATGCGTCTTGTTTGTATACGAAAACCCTATACACGAGTGCAAGCCTCTCATCCAATCCTAGACACGGCTAGGCGCACCTTCTACAGCTGACCTTAGACAACCCCAAGGCCAAAACTTAGACATACGCCCCACGCAGCCCTACTACAGTATACAGCAGGACTCACACTCAGCACTCCATAGAACACCCCACCATACCTCCATCTCACGCACCAGCTCGTCCTGGCTTTTCGAATCCCACAATCCATGGCCCAAACTGCTGCCACCGCTTTGCTCCCCTGGCCTCGTAGGCATGTTTGTGGGGTCCATATTCATCCGTTGCATATTCCCAAACACATTGTTCAGATCTGTCTCCTGCTCCAGGAGGTTAGGCATGCTTTTGACCCTCGACATGCTTTGGGGTCCGCCCAGAGTGTCCTGTAAGAGGATAAGCTGTGAACAATGAGAGCATCTGCATCTGCGAAAGTTTCCGCCGGATTTGTATGTGCAAGATGGTACCGTGTTCAATGTGGCTGCATTTAGAAACTCCAGCACCTACTTTGGTTGTGCGATACAATATACCTCTATACTTCATTCTACTAAGAGTCATATCAATCCTGCCATTGCCGAATATTGGGTTATCACTCGTAACACTCCGAATAATCGGTTGGGCACACGAATTGACCATCCAGACACCCGACAGCACATAATGTACGAAAACCGGTACACGGGATATATCGCAAAGCATGCAGGCTCACATACAAGGTCCGGAGTGTTGAGAAGTGGTGAGTCTATATTGGTACTCATCATAGGCGAGCGTTGCGGTTGCTGTTGCTGCTGTTGTTGTTGCTGCATGTTGAGTGACTGTTGCTGTTGCAGGTTGTATGACTGTTGTTGCTGCCGCTGTTGCTGTTGCTGCTGCTGTTGTTGTAGCTGCAACTGCTGTATGGTGGATGGGACCATAATCTGCTGATTCATGCTCTGCATACTGGGCGACTGGTTCATCTGCTGCTGTGCGTACGAGTTCATCTGCTGCTGGGTCATGTAGCCTTGTTGGGGCGACGGCTGGTGCGGGTTGTTCAGCACGAGGGTAGGCTGTGAATTCGGTTGTTGCTGTGACTGTGGCTGTTGTATTAGGAGACTGGGTTGTGACTGTGGCTGTTGCAGCGGCGCCATTTGCTGTTGGGACATCTGCTGTTGCATCTGCGCTTGTACGTGGGCTTTGGCCTGAGAAGGGTTCAGGGGTTTAAACAAGTCAACACAGTATCGACTTCGGAAAAGGGTAGAGCGCAGATTGCAGTCGATGCGCGATAGATAGGTACTCTAGTACAGAACACAACAATCAAACTGGAAAGCACGACGAGTAAACAGGGTGCCGACAAACATTGGATTTGGCAGCACTTCCTATTAATACGATAATCAACATGTCACGACCAGAGGCAGTTCGGTGAATGCCGATGGATCATTGCAGCATAAACAATAACGAACAACCTACATCTCAATAAACTGCATGCACTGATGTTGCTTAATAGTGCATTCGAAAATAAACTTGGAATAACTGTGTATGTTGTGTTCCACACAATACATTTTAAAGACGACTCAACGTCTATATGCTCTTGTGCTTACGCAGGATCATTCGAGAGTACACGACGACACTTGTTTTGCTCAGCTCGAGAACATACGCACTACAATACCAGCGCCAATTGAAGATTAGATCTTGCGTCTGAGTAGTATTACAATACCTGTTGCGTCTGAGTAATATTACAATACCTGTGCTTGTTGGGCTTGGTGTTTGGCATTCGCTGCTTGAGCGGCGGCAGCGCGTTGTTGCAGATTCTGCTGGTGCCGAGCCTGTTGTACCTGGTACAGTGTACAGAGAGAACGAAACCCATACGCAAATTAGCGCAACATACAAGCATGCGAACACCGTCAATGTTCTGTCCTAGACTTTGATCGCATGCTATCGTTCCTTTAGGTGGATGTATGATAAACACGTGGCCCATGCCAGCGGTATACAGTAGTGGGTGTGCATCGAACCAACCGATGAGCATACAAGACTACCGTGCGGGTGTACATATGACAACACGACTGCACGCATTCATGCTTAGGGTACATATACATCGATATTGAACACCGAAAACAAAGCCCCGTGTCTATCTGCTATTATCGCCTTCACTCAACACCGACGATTTACGATATATCCGACATAGAATAAGCGACATAAACATTTACATGTATATAGCATTATATAGTATAGTTAGTATATACAGTAATATATAGTATTATTTTATGTATTTAGTAGTATGACCGAGAATACCCGTTAATTCGGCAATTAATTTCAACCTCTCGTCCACATTAAGAAACGTCAGTACACTAAGTACACAGGCAGATGTACGCCTGCAGTATAAATCCATATCGACTTTTGCGCGCGAGACTGTGCAAGCAATAACTTAATATATACACCTGGAGAGAAACAAGTCCTGAGCATACATACACATTGATGTGGCCCACTAAAACCATTGGTGGGGGCATCGTAAGACAAACCCAAATGAAAGTGAGTTGAGAGAGTACGTAAGACTCGAATCCCTTCTAATATAGATATACACAAATGGTTGTGGCAACCAACTTATGTAGTAATTGCTGCATGTGTGTACAGATTTGCTGCTAGGCACACGCACGTCCGAATGCGTATCCGCGTGTGCGGCATACCCGAAAACATGGCAAGGGTGAGGCTGGACCTTGCCTACAAATGAAATGCACGGTAGACCGTGCGAACACCAATGCAAATTAAATCTGACAGGCACAACCAACACCGAAAGAGAACAACCGAAGGCTTCGGAGAGTGTATACTATTTTACAATACACGTACACGACTGTCGCCCATCGTGAGGCGTTCTTTTTTTGGCGATGCAATTATGCGATACTCGTAGTACTACACATCACGCTACCACTAACTGCACCAGATGAAAGGGCGGAGCAAACAATTCACAACCCCTTACAATGGGCCGTTGCAATAACGCACCTTCAGATATAATTGTACCTGCTGCATTTGCTGCATTTGCTGATTCTGTAGTTGCTGTTGCTGCAATTGCTGTAGCACCGGACTCATTACGGGATTGAAACCGGGTTGCCCGGGATTCAGTCGCATGTTATTATTGTTCCCGCCGAGCCCTATGGTCGATTGTGCGCCATTCATTTGCTGATGGACGAGGTGAGGGTATTTTTAATTATGAAGAGATGATGTACGGGGTGTTGTACGAGTGATAGATGCATTAAAGAGGCGGTTACAAAAGCTGAAAATGTATATTGCACAAGAATACAACAATTCGAAACTGATCCGGAACTGATTCGGAACTCTCAAGCATCCAGAGAGAATTTTCATTGTTAATGTCTGCTAAAAAGTCGTATTAACTTCCAATCTATATCGATAGTACAACGGACCACATCTCCAACTTTACGAGTGGGTATAGCAGAGCACAGTCCAGAATGCGAGAATTTGACCGAGCAATCGAGTAAGACGGAGATACTGGATCTCCATATTAACCCAAGTCATAAAGGCAGCCGTGAGCAAAATCATATCCAGCGAAGGTTGGCCCACAGGGTTGTGCCAAATTATTATACCAAGCGAAAGTAGTGAAATTGTGCTTGCGACAAAGCATAGCAAGGAAAGACCAAAGAAGAAAAACTACGGCAGCTCATGAGGTAGAAACCGGCAGTCTATGGCCACAAACATACCTGAGGTCTGTAACTTGGGGCTTGTGGATAATGATTGAAACTGTTCATTTGACTGACCCCCGTTTGGGCATAGCTGGTATTACCCGGGACGTCACGCTGCTGCTCCTTTGCCCGCCTTTCCTTAGCCCTTTTATTTTGAAACCATACCTGATTTTGATGCAACAATGTGGATATATTTACTACAATGGATTTCTTATCGACGGATAAAACGGGATAGTTCGTTGTTCGTGGCAGAATCTAATAGTATATTGACATTGTGAGTACGGCAGAAGTATGAACAAGATGCTTCAAAGGAAGATACGATGGTCTGGCGGCACCCTCCTTCACAGCAACGCCCCACACTCCCAATACCCGACAATGCTTGACTGCAATCCAATCGCTGCATGAAAGACAACACTGAAGAAAATTTCGCCCAAGCACTGTCACCACGTACAGCTGACATCGAAGCCATACCTGAATCACCCTCGCTGGCAAACCAGTACGCTGCGAAAGCACCTGCTTCTGCCTTGTATCCGGGACTTGGTACTCTCCGTACGCCTCTGCCAGGATAGCCTTCTGCGCCGCTGTAATAACTGTACGGGTTCGTTTCCCATCATGAGGGTGCTCGTCCTGTGTCGTATTAATTTTTGCTGTGAGTGTTTTCGTGTAAATGCACATGTTGCCAAGTGTTCTTAGTCGGTCGACAGCTGTGAATAACGACAGATCTCAGAAAGCACATCGAGGGGTAATCAAAGCGGAACCTGATGTGTGGTCAACACGTGATCGATTGTAAATAACGGAGAATTGGGTGGATGGGGCGGAAGCGGGTTCCATAGCAATCAATGGGATTACAGCGGGTAGGCCATTTCCCTGACAACGTGCCACTCAGTTATCAGTCTGTTCCTGAAAAGCTACATACAACTACCAGACACATCTATATTCGTAGCAATTCGTTCAAAAAAAACATTGTAAATCTGCATAACAAGTACCATACAAACATTGTGGTAAAAATCTGATAAAAAAACTCGTGACCAAAAAACAGGACATGCACGGTGACGTTTAGCCATCCATGTACAACACTAAAGTAGACATTTTACGAATTGTCAGCGCGGCTAAAGAACAAAATAAACATTCGGTTTTGTTCTAAAATAACGACAACATAAAAAGGAGAATATTTCTGCATGCTATTTCCAAAAAAATCGTGTGAACTTTCAAAAATCTGAACTATATATAACTATAAATATAAATATAAATATTAATGTATGTATGTATATACATATATATATATATATATATATATATATATATATATATATATATATAGTACGTATAGTAGTATAGTAGTA